GCAGCTGTTTTGACCAGTGCTGCTCCGCTTGGTAATCTACTTAACTGCTGGTGATTCTGATGCTCGTCTTGTCACGCAAATCTGTTTAAAGTCAGTAAAACGATGAAAATCAACAAGCTAGGATATTAAGGTAGAATCGGATTTCAACAAAGGCAAAAATTCTGACACAGGGAAAAATGGTTGAAGTCTTGCCTGGTAGTTGAAATTGCGTTGTCGTTGTGCGGCAGCGGCAATATCGTAAGACAATCTCGACTGATATGGTTGCTGAGTGTTTGTCTTGGAGCTCAAAAAATCGTACGGCTCATCACCACAATAATTCTGCCAAATACTGACTGACTGTTCATAGCGTTGCTGGATCTCATCCGAACTCAGCAATTTGTGATCAATCACCGTACCACAAATTGCTTCACAGTCCTAGAAAACTGATAACATAGCTTAAAGACCACTGGACTCTCCGCAACTTTGAAAGATCCAAGACGAATTACTAAAATTTGGGCAGATGAAGGGTTTCTTAAACGGCTATATGGAATTATGCATATTAGGAATCCAAGACAAAGAAGAATAGCGAAGTTGCCAAGTGCATCAATGGTGAAAAGAAACGTGAGAATGATGCAGTAGCTAATCAATGTAAGTATCGAGAGCTTCGCATTCAGTGAATATTTGGCCTCACGAAATCAAAGGTTTCACTGATATTTTCCAGATTAAAAAAAGCTACAAATCTTGCCAAATCCTGTTCACTTTCCTATTGAGCTAAAAATATATTCAGTGCATTTTTTTGAGATAAAATGCTTTAAGAATTTTTAAAAAACCCACTGAGCTGGAAAATTGCTTTGGAATTCTGAACAGGAAGTGATACTTTACGGAGTTTGTGACATATGTTACAAAGAAATTGCTCCATGCGATCGATAATTATTTCTTCCACAAGTTTATTCATTCAAAAGCAACAGTACCCCCAACATTTTATAGAAAAAAAAGGGAATTTCCGCCCAAGATACTTCTTACAATCTTCTAAGAAGCACCTTTCTCAGAATATTGCTGCGCCTTTGCCGAAGAAAAAAATCCAAAGGTACCTTTTTCGAAAAAAAAACCCCAAGAAATGGCACCACTTCAATAACTAGTTATAAATAAAAAAAATTTTTTTTTGCTTACTTTTAAATCTTAATTATAGTAAAAAAATTTTTATGGGATAGGGTTGTTTTATGTGTGTGGATCGTTGTGTGGCGTGGTGCGCTGAGCGTACGCGCACTGTAGAGAAGCAAAACCAAGTTTATGACTTACTGATGAAGAATCGTGCAAACAGCAAATAAACAGCACGAAATGTGGCGCTT